TAGGAACAGAGACATCAAGATGAGCTTGAGAAAACTCATGGGTAAGTTGCCTTCTTTTCATTATTGTGTTGTTTGTGACAATTCATGAATTGTAAAAAATTGCCATTCATAAACTTTCACTGAGAATGAGAATCAGAATAAAATGATCTCAGTTTCGTCATTTACAATATGACATAATTATATTTTTTCAGTGGTTTAGGTGGATGTGAGGCATTTGAATATCATCGGTGAAGAAGCTTATTTTGCTAAAACTTTGAAAACTCTCAGATAATAATTTCCTCAAAAAATAGAGCTTTGTTTCATTTTAATAGCTTAATAGGTAAGGAGTGAACAGAAACATAAAAGCAATCCTGCATGTGCTGCCTTCACCTTAGGACAAGTTTTCCTTGTCACTATAATGCAGATATAATAAGGCACATACTACCCATAGAGAGAAAATTGACTGTTCTTCCTGGACCTATTGCTAATGGAATTTTTGATGAGTTATTATTAAATATAGACATGTAGCAGGTTAGGTGTTGTTGTTGTGAAGTGCTGTCAAGTCGATTCCAACCCATAGCAACCCTGTATAGGGTTTCTGAGGAGTGACTGGTGACCTTGAACCGCTGATCTTGCAGTTCAAATGACCTTGCAGTCTGGCATATTAACCCGCAACACCACACATATATATGCATTCTTCCCTCAAAATCTTCCAAGATATCACACTCCTGTTGATACTTAAGTTTCTGACTTATTACTTCTCTTTTTAAGTATTCAAGTTAATGATAATTTTTATGAAAGACAAAGGAAATTAATGTACTCCCCTATCACCAATGAAAATAGGATCATATATACTTCCTTATTCTAATTCCTGATATCAGGAACAAATATTTAGTAGATGAGCTTTAAATTGACCATCTGGATTGTAATTCCATTGGGGTTGGACCTAATCACTGTAAGCACTTTGTACAATGCATACTAAATAATCATTAATCAATAAAACTTAATTGCATCATTATGTTCCACTTCTTGCCAATAATCATAAATTACATAATCCTTTTGCTCTCTCATAATTTTGCTGTTGGTTCAGGAATTATATTTGCTTACTTTTATTTCAATGTCTATCACATGATCTTTCTAGTTTTAGCCAAATAATCAAATGAATAATTATTGGGAAAGCATAGTACAAGTTGGTAATATTTTTCTGGCATGTTGTTTTGTTTGATTTCTTCTCATTGATTTATTGAAAAGGATAAAGGTGTAATTTTCATTTCCCCTCAGTCATCTTGTTTGCTTTGCTTCTTTCTCTTCCCTAATAGAGTCCATAAAGTCACCTGGTGGAGGTTGATTGAATTAATTCACTCAGTGGCATCATAGAACATTGGCTATAATCTCCGCCCTGTCATTCAAACATTTTTACTTTACTTTGAGTAGGAAATGCTTAAGTAAAACAGGACATGAAAAATGTTCAATTGACAGAGTTAGGAAGATTACTTTTCCCACAAGTACATAAAATCTATTCTGATATAAGTCAAAGTGCTTTCTATGGGTGTGTAAGTGAGAGCAATGAGGTTTTCATAATAAGAATGAAATAAGTGCCAGAAAAGTCTCTGTTCATCAGATAGGGGATGAAGAGAGTAAGGAGAGACTGGGGTTCTCATACACTTCTAGTTAGATTGCAAAATGATGGAAAAAAGAATCATGCTTCCCTAAAAAGTTGGAAATAGTAATATCAAACTGTCTAGCAACCCCACTACTAAGTATAGGATATACCTACATACATAATACTCAAGATATGAATGTTGTTGTTGTTAATGTTAAGTGCCATTGAATCAGTTCCAACATATAGTGACCCTGTATAGGGTTTCTGAGAAGTAGTTGGTGAGCTTCAGCACAACATTATTCACAAGGGAAAAACAAAAACAAAAACAAAAACATGAGAACTACATAATAATTGAAGGATGGATTAATGGTTAAATAGACTGTGGTACATACACATAATGGAATATTGTGTGTAACAGTTAGAGTTGTGTGTTTACTTGGCTGGACCAGGATTGTTAGGCTTTTGGCATTTAAGATGTAGTCAACCTTCATGTTGAAATCTAATCTAATGTAATATAGTATAATGTAGTCACTTCCATGATGAGCTTTGCTATGAGCAGCCAACCAACTGAAAGGGAGTTACTTTAGGGGCCCAGTACTCTGGCAAGCCTTGCTTTTTTTTGCTTGGTCTGGATCCTCTATCTGGTTGGTCATCTGATCTCCATTCTTTGGAATTGAGTCAGTTCCCTGCTGCATTGCCTAATGAACCTAGGAATAATCAGCTGCCTGGCATCTTAGCTATTAAACTTGAATTCATTTGTCTCTGTAGCCAGAAGTCTGCCATGTGACTTGCTGATCTTGGATTCATCAGCACCAACAGTTGTGTGAGTCAAGTGAAGCCTCCCTGCTGATATCTGATCCACAGCCCACCAACTTGAAATTTACTAGCGTCTTCCACAGTGTGAGCCATTTCATTGAGA